AAACCATGCTGAGATCATTGCACTTCATGAAGCAACTAGGGAAAGCATCTGGCTCAGAAACATGACTCAACATATTCAACAAGCCAGTGGACTATCAAACAATAATGACCCAATGGTGATATACGAAGACAATGCAGCATGTGTCGCTCAAACCAAAGAAGGATACGTCAAGAGTGACAGAACTAAACATATCCCGCCAAAGTTATTCTTATATGCGCAAGAGCTTGAAAGAAACAAACAAATCAAAGTTCAATACATTCGATCAAGCGATAATGCAGCAGATTTGTTTACGAAGGCACTTCCGACGACAATATTTCGAAAGCACGTGCACAATATTGGAATGAGACATCTTCGGGATTCGCACGGATGATAACTCGAGGGGGAGTATGTGCGGCTGTACTCTTTTTTCCTTGTCTCGGTTTTTTTTTCCCACAGGGTTTTTCCAGATAAGGTTTTTAACGAGGCAGCATAAACGCACAGTTAATAGTGGTAATTCCAAGGGGGAGTATTGTAAATAAGTGGAATTTTCCACTATTATCTTATCCTAGAAATGTGTGAATGATAACATTGAGATGTGTGCAAAGTTTGCCTATAAAAGGCAAGTGAGTTAGTGTAATAGTCGTACGAAAGTGAAGGAAAAAGAAGTGAAAGAAAGAAAGCAATCTGTTACAGTTTATATCCGGTTTTTACATTGTGTTCTTTATATTCCCCGTATTTCATAACAAAATGATTTTTTTTTTTTTTTTTTTTAATGGACCTAACATTTTAACTTAATTGTTTTGTTCAAAAGTCATAGTGGGCCTCTTGGAGTAGTTCAAGGCAAAAAAAGCAAATGGCGGTGATTTTTATTATATTTCTTTATATAGATTTTTTATTGAAAATTATTACCAAGATGGAACACTGATCATTCACTTTTAAAGATAACCATTTTAAACTCGCTTACAACACGCACTTGAGGAGAAAAAAGTCAAACAAACTTAACTTTAGATGATGTTCTAGTTGACTAATAAGCTCAATCGGACAAGGATTTTGGTAGGCAAAGAGATTATTTTTCGATTTGTCATTATTTTATTCCGCTTCATTTAAAAATAAAAAGTTTTTTAAGTATTCATTCATTCATTTGATTTAACAATATTCTCTCAATTTCAACTATTTTCAAGAAGCAACATTCGCCTTCAAAGAATCAAGTAACTTTATACCATACACTACAAACATAAATATATTGAAAAATAGGTCCTTAGAATTTAATGAACATTCCAATGGTGTAATGATATATATATGATGAAAAATTGCAACAGAATGCACACGATAAACGTAGCTCGTAATGTACTTGATCTACAAGAAGTTCGGAATGTACTTTTTCTAAGTTAACCATAGTTAACCAAAAAAAAAAAAAAAAACTCAATTTGAGTTAATTTTGGTTGAATTTATCCGTTTACAATGTGTAACCTCTTTTCATGGTCTTTTCTTAGGCTATTTTGACAGACAAATAAGCTAGCTTATAACTTATTTAGTTAGCTTATAAGCTTCATGTATTCAAATAAGCTTTGTTTTGATAGGACGAGCTTTTTTAAAATGCTCGAACTTATCTCATAAACTTCTTTGAATAAGTTTTTAAATAAACTCGTTGAAATTTTTATTTTAGCTAGCTTATCAGCTAATTTTACCAAATTTTTTATCATACAAGCTAGCTTTTCATATATAAGTCAAAAGCTATAAGCTCAAAAATTACTTATCAGATAGCTTATCAACCAATTCTACCAAACATACCCTAGCCTAGTAATCCTTTCCCAATATACATTCACACTCTCCTAAAATGGCCACATTTAGCCGTTGGTTTTGTTTCCATAAGAATGAAACTCGACTCACACACTAACACTGGTATTCCAATTGAATAAACAATCACTATAAACACTTCCTAGCAAAAACCTCAAACCTAAAGCTCTAAACCCACAACATGAACGAAGGGGCTTTTAACAAAGCTCTCACGAAACTTTAAACGCTGATTACTCAGAAGCACTTGATAATCTACTGTCCATAATAACTTCTAACTTAACCCTCAACCGACAAGAAAAGCGAGAATAAATCATATCCAATAGAAATTAGAGATCCATTACCACCAATCACTCAGATCAATAGAACCTAAAAAAAAAAAAAAGAAAAAAATGCCATGGAACATGAAACAGCTCCATTTGAATTCTAAAACACGAAAACGGGATACATCGATTTCAATGCTGTTTGCATAATCACAATGAGAGTATAGCCTACACAACGATTAAAAGAAAAACAACTATAGTGATGGGAAATCCAAAAGTAATCTATAAAGAATTAAAAGAGTTCTAACAACACAATAAAGAAACAGCAGCTCTGGGCTTCTTTCTGCAGGTCCATCACGCGACATTTCACAGTTTAGGTCAATTTTCATCACACAAACCCAACACTGTGGGTTATTACAAAGTAAAACAGAAAAATAAGGGGGGAAAAAAAAAAGAAATGAAAAGAAGAAAAAGGGATATAAGCATTAACAATAAAGTATACTAACCTCAAAGAATCCCACCTTCAGTCCACTTCACAGTTCACATCCAATTTCCATTATAATCCACTGAGTTCTTATAAAGTACACCGACCTCAAAGAAACCCACCCTCAGTCCACTTCGAATCCGATTTTTCATTATAACCCACCGATTTTTTATCAGGCGCACTTTGATAGAAACTATCAAACCCGTCATCTTTATCGTCATCCCAACCTGCCCATCCATCCCCATTCCCCTTTCCCGATTCTTCTTTCTTGTTGTCTTTGGTATCCCAATCATCCCAAGAATTCGAGCTAGCCGAGTTACCGGATGAGTTTTTTGCTCCAGAGGCAAATTGTTGGTTAGATGAGTTGTGAGAATTCCATCCCTTGGATTCCTGTCCAAATTCGTGATAATAGCCACTGTTTTCACTCTCGTTTTGCTGCCAGCTTGAGCCTAAACCCGAGCCTGTGCCTTCCTTTGTGTAAGCCTCGACTTTCTGGGAGGCTAAAGCCATCACACCTTTCATAAGCCCCCATGTCTTTTGTCCAATCTCCGAAGTCTTTGCAGTAACAACGCCAACTGTTTCATTGACCTTGTGATCATATCCCCCCTCTTTGACCTGTAAAAGAGAGATCAAAGCACATCTTACTTCAATTCAACAGATGCTGAGTTCTCAGTTTTGGAGCACAAGTTACACATTCAGTGATATGCAGCTCGACCACTATAAAAAGCAAAACTGCAGGCTGTAAAAGATATATATGCCAGACCCTAAACTTACAACTAAAACAAAATTCTAAGCCTTTTGATGCTACTCAACATGTTTAATGATCCACACATGCTATGAAGACAAATTGTTTCTTCAAATCACAAGATTTTCATGTCAAATTACAGGTAAACAAAAAAACCAAACAACCTTTGAAGTAATCTCCTTCGTTCCAGCTTGAACAACACTAGCAGCCGAGTGTGCCGCCATCGATAACATGCCAAAGCCCTGCATATGCAAAACACAGAACAGCTATACCATATACACACATACGTACACATAACATACACATATTAAACCACAATATTTCTCACAACCCCACCTGAGTAACAACAGAAAGAACATCCCCTTCCGAGTTCTTCCTCGGCATGGGTGCCGGACTCGACCCGAACCCAACATATTTCCCCCCTTGGGAAGGAGGAACATTATCTGGCCTCGATTCATTCTCAGCCATCTTCCTAGCAAAAAAGCCTTCCTTATTCGCGGCAGAAGCCTCCAGCTGAGCCCTCGAATAAATATTCTCGGTCGATTTTGACCGAGACGGCCCACCTCCGCCATTACCAGAGGTCCTAAAATCACCCACAGTATTATTCCTCCTAATATTATTGCCACCACTACCACTAAAACCCCCATCATCATAACTATCCCAACTATCCCAACCACCACCGCCGCCGCCGCCCAACGGCGGCTTGCTATTGAGACTACCACCGTGACTACCGCCGGATTTCAAGGTCTCCTTCACCACCGGCGGATCGCGCCACGGCTTGCCCTCGGCGAGGGCCTGGATGCGGTCCCGGTAGACTGCTGCCGCCTTCGTGTTGTACTTGGCGGCAATGTCGGTCTCCTTGGGGACGCCGTACTGCGAGATGAAGGCGTTGAACCTCTCGTTGCCCCCCTGCTCCATCTTCTTCAGCTGGATCTCCGACCACGAGTCCATGGTGACCGATCGGACGAAGGAGATGTGGACTCCGAGGCCGCGGTGCTTGCCGGAGCACTCGAGGCACATGAAGACGCCGTATGAGACGGAGGCCCACTGGGGGTTCTTCTGGGGGCAGTCGACGCAGATCTTGTTGCCGGGCTGCGATTGGAGGTCGCGGAGCCGCCGTGAGGCCGCCATGGGGAGTCGGGCCGGGTCGGTGGATCCGGGGTGTGATGGGGGCGGCGATGGGTTTTGCGGATCGGATCGATTGGGGAGATGAAAACTGGTCGATGCGAATTTGTGAAGGGACGGTATGAATAAGAGAGAGAGGGGGAGAAATAAAAAAGAGTTTATTGTTTGTTTATTTATTTATTTTTTATATGTATATTTTCCGATATAAAGAATTATCATAAAACTAAGTGGACCACATAGTAATTATCATAAAAATGTGGGACAAAAACACAAAATATGACCATACAAATTAACCAGCGCCAAATTTCACTTTATTAAAACAACTCATCAAAGGTCTACAAATTCACACTCCGAATAATCTCAACTGAAATTGTAAGAACAAAACAGGGGAAAACCAGAGTCAGCTCAATCAAGTTAACACACACACACACACACAAAATAGAACAAATAAAACAATTTCGAAAAACAGAGATAAAAAAGAAAAAAAAAGAAGAAGAAGAAGAAGATAAAACAAAAACACATAAAACTGAATGATATCAGCATTTGGGAAGATCAGCCGGAGGAGGAGGAAGCTTCTGGTCGGGAAGCTCGCCGTCCAGAACAAGCCACGCCATCTTCAATCCCCAGCTCGTGTGCACCTCCAAATGACAATGCATAAACCACACACCTACACACACAAAAATTGCAATCAAAATTATTCCTTTTCAAACGTATTTTCATCCATAGATTATACGTGAGTTAGACTAACCGTTAGACGGATCGACGCGTTTTACTATTTGAAGAAAATGCTTAATTATATTTGTATTTCAGTTTATGTTGTTTTCTAAAAAGAGTGTGTCAGTCTAATGGTTAGACCTGATTTTTAATTTGTTTCGACCATACCCGGATTATCGGCCAAGAACCGGATGGCGACCCATCCGCCGGACGGCACGCCGACAGTGTTCCTCTCGACCGGGTCGACAAGGTTGAAGCTTTTCGGGTCCTTTTTCGGGTCGAAATTCCCGAACCCTTGCCCCACAACGAAAAAATTGAATCCGTGGAGGTGAAGCGGATGGCTCTCGGCCCCGAGAATGCTCGTGTCCTGCATAACGAGCTCGACTCTTGTGTTGTACGGTAGGACCATGAGCTTCGTCCCGTTTCCAACCATTGTGTTGTTGGGTGGGTTTCCGGTGTAGTTGAACCACTTCGGGCTGTAGGGAAAGTCTGGGCTGTAGACTCGGCCCGACAGGCCATCAAAGTGTGCCTGGAGAAGCGCGGTCGTGGGCTGGACGAACGATATGTTGCTTACCGAGGCCGCGAATTTGGTCCCATTGGGCCCCTGGCAAGTCTGGTTCCCTTCGCACTGGCTTGTTCCGAGCCCGACTGTGAAGAAGAACCGTTTGTCGACTTCTCTAGGGACGTTGGCGGGAAACCGTGAGTTGGCGAGGCTTCGCAGTTTTTTCGAGAAGCTCGTGGCGAATGCTGTGTCGTTTAGTGGCGGAAGGGTCGGTTTAAGGAGTGGGAGTTGTTTCGTGTTTTTTGTTGGTTTCGGGGGCTCGTATTCGAGAATCCCGGCTACGGTCGAATTGTCAAAAGTGCCTTGGCCCGTGACGTATGGTCGGGCCATCATAAAAAATTTAGCGCCTGGGAATTCAGGTTTTGTTTTGAGGAGGAT